TTTAAAAGAGCAACACACAAGTTTCTTGCTTGTTCTTCTTGTGATGAGACAGCATTCCGAATGAGCGGTAGATTAAAAAAAAATGTTATGACTATTCAAAAGTGCTTCAATGTAAGTTTCTTTGAATAAATGATTTTCTATTCTATTCTATTCTATTCATTAAGTAAATAGTGATGGGGTAAGCGATTGGACGGTATGGTAAGTTGTGCAATCGAGTTTTTCCTATTGCTGAGACCAGAAGATTGGGATGTTTTGGATTTTTGTTCAGATAAAATCTTTTAGATATAGATAAGATATATTTTTTAATAAATGGAATATTAATGTTGTAATGTAATTTCTTTAAATTACACTTAAGTATTAAAAGCTGTTTTGATGGCTTTATTTTGTATAACTTGGAGTTTATTATAATTTGTATCAATATATTGTGATAAAAATAATTCTAAAAGATTGCTTGGAAGACAACGGTATTTAGCAATAAGGCCGCCCATTAATAATAATAATAATAATAATAATCTCAGGACAATTCACACAGCGCCATCTAGACCCAAGTTAAGCTACCTAAAGCTTGTGTTATGGGTACTAGATTACTGATATAAATACATAGATAATTTTTTTTTTCGTAAATACATACATATAAAATACCCAGACCGATACAAACAATCATACTCATGAATACAAATGTTTGTGCCGTGCGAGGAATCGAACCCGCGACCATCGGACGTCAAGCGGTGTGCTAGACCGCCATACCACCGAGGTCGTCAAATTAATAATTACTATATTGTATTTTTTTATTTGGTGTACATATTAATTGATAAAATTATTTTCTTCCTGTGATAGAAACAATAGTTTTTTTATTAATTTCAATATAACTATAATGTAATGGTAGTACGAGAACATATAATACTGAACGGAAACAATTTTTTTTGACGAGTCTTTTTGTCTGACACACTTATAGCGACTTGTTCAATCATGAAATACGAAAGTTTGCATTAAAATTTATATTTTTTCTTGTAATATTTATTATAAATAATGTTTTTGTACATTATTACTAGGTATTGCTAGTTGCTACATATGCGGCCCACCAAGAATATTTGAAATCTAAATTGGCCCATTGATTAAAAAGTGTTGTAACTGGCTGATCAGATATGTATTTTATATAACCACATTGTGGAATCACCTTCCAGCAATGGTATTTCCGAACCGATACGATATTGAAACCTTCAAGAAAAGAGCTTATTCCTTTTTAAAAGGCCGACAACGTACTTGCAATTCCCCTGGTGTTGCGGGTGCTCATGGGCGGCAGTAGTCACTTACCATCAGGTGAGCCGCATGCTCGTTTGTTATATATCTCCTGTGTTATAAAAAAAAAATTATTCTAAATTTTTATTTGAATTTATAGTTCTTTTATATTACATTCTTGTTTTTGATACTTCACTTCCTTCTTTCTATTCCTAATTGTCAGTAGTCTATATTAATATATTTTCTCCGTTTATTTAGTCTTTCTTATTACTACAACAAAATGGTTGCCTAGCCCTGACATATATGTATACATTTTGAGCTTCTCCGTTTATTTAGTCTTTCTTATTACTACAACAAAATGGTTGCCTAGCCCTGACATATATGTATACATTTTGAGCGATTTCATCATGATATGTGCCTTCCGCTTCTCATTAATATATTTTTACTACATATGTTTCCACTATTTCTATGATGTTTCATAATTTCAGTGGTGAAAGAAATATGACGGCAATAAATAGCTGTTCCCGCGACTTTGTCCGCGTGGATATTTACTTTATTTTTCTAAAATAGAAATAGCCTAAGTTACTCCTTGTTACATCAGCTACCTGCCAAAAAAGTCCCGTCAAAATCGGTCGAGCTGTTTCAGAGATTAGCCGGAACAAACAGACAGACAGACAGACAAAAATTGTAAAAAATGTTATTTTGGTGTATGTACTGTATCTATATTCATATGCAGGTAGTAAAAAACGGTTATTCCAATATTACAAACAGACACTCCAATTTTATTTATATGTATAGATTTGTGAACGAACTAGTGACGTGCCCCAACTTTACACTAGTTAATATGTCATAGACAGATCTCTGTAACTAAATTAATTCACCTTACTTTTCCATACTTCCTTACTAATATTAGAAACTAGCTACTTGCCCCGGCTTCGCACGGGTGTACATGTATTATACATATAAACCTTCCTCTTGAATCAATATGTATTTAAAAAAAACCGCTTCAAAATCCGTTGCGTTGTTTTAAAGATTTAAGCATACATAGGGACGGACAGATAGCGACAGCGACTTTGTTTTATACTATGTAATGAAATTATTCGAAAGTATTTGTAGAAATGTGTAAGTTATATTCATTTCCGGGTTTCCCAATATAATTTTTTGTTGGATTACTTCCTACCGACTTTAAAAAGGAATAAGCTCTTTTCTTGAAGGTTTCAATATCGTATCGGAAATACCATTGCCGGAAGGTGATTCCACAATGTGGTTGTGCATGGCAAAAAGTTTCTAGAAAACCGCAATGTGGAGGACCGCCATTCATCCAGATGATCAGGATGGTATTATTATATATATTCTGGCGGGTGGTACGGTGGTGAAACTTAGCAGCTGGTATTAATCCGAACAATTCCTCAGAACACTCCCCGTGATATATGCGGTAGAAAATGCACAGAGATGCAATTTAGTAGATTTAAAGAAGCATATAAGCATACATAGGGACAGACAGCGACAGCGACTTTGTTTTATACTATGTAATGTATATTAGTCAGATATAGGTACGTACAAAAAGTTACGTCGAGGTCTATTAAAGTTGAGTTTGAAATATAAATTTAAACGTATGTATAGTTTTTTAGGGTCATCCAGATTTGAACTTCCGACCTCGAATTGTAGTCGAAATTTCGTGGTGAATTACTCCACCACAACATTCTCATTACAAACTAAACTTTTTTTGTTTTTATTTTACTTTGAGATTCTTTTTTTCTACTTTGGGAAGACCTCCCCTCTCCAGGGGTAACAAGCGGGTACTACCGGACTCCTACCGGCTAAAACCCCAAGGAGGCGTAGGTACCTCTACAGCATATTGCAGGAGCTACTGGTGAGCACGAGCTTTCTTCCGAAGCTCCAACGGCGGGGTTACAATCTTTTTTTTATTACAAAACTGCTTTAACTGTTATTACGGACAAGTAATTAACAACTAATAATAATAAAATAAATAATAATAATTATTATTAATAATAATAATAATAATAATAATAATTGAAAGCTACGAAAATAGTAAAAGATCAAAACACATAGATATTAAAGCTCATTACGTAAAAGATATTATTGCTAAGAAAATAATTAATATATATGTAGAAAGTAACAACAATATTTCCGATGTATTTACTAAAGCTCTATCTTTAAACCAACATTCTTATTTAACTTTTAAAATGAATATAATGTAAACTCGACTTCTATTGTATTGTGTAAATTTCAATTTAAGATTAGTGTTGTTACACCATTTATCGATATTATATACGGTGATGTTCGATATATGACATGTATGTATGTATGATGTTCGATGTATGATGTTCGTATGTACATACGAACGTATGTATCATAGTAACAATTTCAAATTTACTAGATTAGAAATTGACGGGGGATGTTGGACATAAAACTCCTTTGTTATATTGACATATATTATTTGTATATAAAAAGAGAAAGCATATTAATAAAAAGACAACTGCGACTAAAATGGTGTTTCCTTATTTGGCCTCTGCATAAATAAAATCCGAGGGAGATGAGAATTTGTTTTAAGTGTTAAGGTTCACATCGATATTTTCGAAAAATCTGATATTTTATATTAAAAGAAGGTAGTTTCATTATTACTCGGTATCGTTAAACTAGTTGCATATAACCCCCACTCATAGCTTCTCTGTATAAAAGGGAGGGTTTTTGCGCCCCTCCGATCGATCCCCCGTCCAATTCAAACGGGGATCGAAATTACGACGGCCTGAGCCGAGGTTCGAACCCCTAGCGGTGCACTCAGACTAAAGTCGTATCCGTCAGGCGGGAGTTGGCCTTCAGCCGCTCCATAAGTCCTTCCGCGGGTTTGGAGTGCCATCTGCATTCGTCTATCGTCCGGTGAAGCTGTAAAGGCCAGCTGCGGCCAACAGCATTAGAGTAGTCCGAAAAAAAAAAAAAAAGGCCGCGGGATTCGGTCTTTGAGCACAAGATGTGCTGGTTGTATTTTAATTGCTAAAGTGAATTGTGTTAGAGACATAGTAAATTAATGTTATATAGTTGTTATTTTATTATAATACATACTTTTACTAGTACATAGAGTTGATATATCTAACATAAGTAAAAATAATAAAAAAACAACAAATCTTCATGAAAATTTCGGTTAATTATTCTACGTACACCGGCAAAGGTAACTAGGAAAAATAATATTTTAATGCGTCAGTTATATGTTAATCGTTTACACCATTATATTAGATACTTTTTTAGAGTTTAACTTTATATTTCTAAAATAAAAGTAGCCTAAGTTACTCCTTATTACATCAGCTACCTGCCAATAAAAGTCCCGTCAAAATCAGTCCAGCCGTTTCAGAGATTAGCAGAAACAAAACAGATAGAGAGACAGAAAAACATTGTAAAAAATGTTATTTTGGTGTATGTACCGTATTTATATTCATATGCACATGCATATGAATATAAATGCAGTACATTATTCATTACTACATAGTAAAAAACGGTCATTTCAATATTACAAACAGACACACCAATTTTATTTATATGTATAGATACCATAGGATAGGACATGGTTATATACCTCTATACTTAAATTAATATTACCCATATAATGTGAACAAAGTCGGGTGCAAAAGCTGGTTAAATACTAAAAAATAACCTGTACATTTAGTTACAATAAATTGATTTATGATAACCTAACTTTATTACACTATTTCGGTTAACTATTACATATAAAAAAACAAACTTACATTTACATCCAACACACAATTCAGTTTAATTTTCCAAAATCCCTATATGACCACAGAGTATAAATGTTAACATATTGACACACAGATATCACTAAGAGTTCACTTCTCACTAAAAATACGTTTATCCTAGCAACATATGATAGTGGATGATAAGAAATGTATAGTTTTAGTATCCGATTTGACGGGATATCGTGAAAAAAGACAGGAAATGTGCAACTGATGGTTGGGCGCACGATTGACTGCTCTAACCGGAGTTGGTTTATATTCAATCATAGATTAAAATTGGCAGATGGGTCTGGTAGGCACAATACTGCATATTGCAGCTTACATGCCAGTGTAAGACTACTAATATCTGAAAATTGAGAGTCAGAGTCAATACTGTTATCTTTTTAATGAAAAGACGGTTACACAGATAATTTATGATTTAACTAGGAGTACCCGCGGGTTCATCGGTGTTAAATTGCAATAAAAACTATGTGTTATTCTGATGCATAAGCTATATTACCGTAGTTTCATCAAAAAGTTTTTGCGTGAAATTATTACTAGCTTTTGCCCGCGGCTTCGCTCGCGTTAATATATCACCTTAGGGGTGAAATTTATCAAAATCCTTTCTTAGTGATGCCTACGTCATAACATCTACCTGCATGCCAAATTTCAGCCCGATCGGTCCAGTGGTTTTGGCTGTGCGTTGATAGATCACTATGTCAGTCACCTGTGAGTTATATATATTTAGATTAAGATAAGATTAACAAATATAACAAAAATAACAATCGTTACTTCCCTTCAACTGCTTGTTGTCACTCACAATAAGGAATTTTATTCGTGATAGATATACTGAATGATTGACTGGAGATAGACAGTATATATCATCGTAGAAAGACATTATCAGCGTAATGTATGACATGAAGCAAAGCTTTCAATATCGACTTAAGACTTTTAATTTAAAGGTAATTTCTTAATTTTTTACTTTTGAGTTAACGGAGTTCATATAGGTCCTAAAATGTAACTTTAAAAATGGGTGCCAAGTTTAATTTTAAGATAATGCATGATTGTCAACTTGGAGGACAATAGAATTGAGATCGGAATGGATGCCAAGTTTTGTAGATAATGCTGAAATTTATTCATAAGCAATATGCGAAAGACATATGAAAATTTTAGATAAGTAATTTAAAAGTCTATTTCTTGTTTTAATATTAATTTTTAAAAGTAAACCTTACTGAAGCTAGGTTTACTATTGAAACATGTAATTTCTTAAATTTAACAGTCGATTTATTTCTACATAGCAGGGTACTAATAAATATTGATACAAAAGTACTCGTACTGAAGTTAAAATTAAAATTTTAAATAAGTACAAATTCGAATCTATCCTATTAAACTTATGACAACTACAAATCATACGTTCAGAGGCAGCTTCCACCGAGAATTACGAACGAGAAAATCATCTGGTACTCTTTTCAAATGAGACTGTATGGATATACAGTCTCATTTGAAAAGAGTACCAGATGATTAACTAGCGTGGATACACTAATAGTACAAACCAAAGATGGACCCAAACCATTCATTGTAAACAATCGAAGGTTGCAATTCCAATAACAAACCCACTACTCACAAAACGTCTATTAATTAATTAATTAATTTATTTATTTATTTACATCGTACTAAGTGAGCTTAACAGTCTCCCAATATGCCCACTTAGGAAGATAATATACAAATACACACAATTATAAACAGTAATTACACAAGAAAAACAAAAGAGAAAAAAAACAATAATAATAATAATACCTAATCTCCATTTAACATACTACCTAAATAGCTAATTAAACCTAAATAGGTAAAACCTTAAAGTAATGATAGGGACAGTAACGGGCCACTGTCCCTTAAACAAATACTCGTATACAATCGGTGCTACAGACAGTCCCCTTTGGCGGGGCTACTTTGAAGCCGAAGAAACGGCCGCTCACGTAATCTTGGAGTGCGCGGTACACAAATCCTCGGAACGGTGAGGTCGCTTCGCGAAATCTGTGAAGATACTAGGAGACTTCTGCGCTTCTGGGAGCAGCTTTTCTGGCTACGTTAGAAGTCTCGGCTCTACACGCACAACGGCCCAAAGGAGAGACTAATTGCGGAAAATAGAGTCCACATTACATTACTAATATTATAATGGCTAAAGTGTATCTGACTCTCTGTCTATCTGTTTCCTTTCCAGAACTAAACGGCTAAACTAATGTCTTAGTGAAGTGGAATGGATAACCTTTGAAAGGTTTATTTCAACATTCAAATTCCTCTTCATTTGATACACAAAGTCGGACTAGAAGGAGCAAAGCGTTGCAAATATTCTTCTGCAGTTTTGACATCATTATCATCATCGAAGCCCGGAAGATGTCCACTGATGGACATAGGCCTCCCCTAAAGATCTCCACGACGATCGATCCTGCGCTGCTCGCATCCAGCGCCTTCCATCGACCTTGACATCATCTAAACGCACGCAAAATGCCGTCCTTTAAAAAAAGTCGTCCAGGGAATAAACGTAATACTCGTTTAGTTTTAGAGGTAAGTAATCTTCTTGAATAAGGACTAAGTCTCCAAATTTTATATTTTAAGCAAAACATATTATATTACTCACTCTTGTTCTTAGTTTTTATATAACTTTAATGCACACAGTACAAAAATAACAGTACATTTAGCGGACTTAACACCATGCGGTATTTTTTACCAGTCAACCATAGTTAGTGCTGAGAACAATTGTTGACGGTGTAAAAAAAATCATAACAAAAAAAATCAAGGAACAAAAAGTGATATAATTATATTTATACTATGACATATATAATAATATATAAATATACTAGCTGTCCCGGCAAACGTTGTTTTGGCATATAAATTAATAATGCTATAAAAAAATAGGGGTTGATGATAGAAGGGTGAAAATTTAGAATTGTATGTATTTTTGTATGTTGTATCATAAAAAAATAGAAACTAAAAATTTTGTTTAATAAATAAAAAAAAAATTTTTGGCTTTAACTATCCCTAACATTTAGGGGGATGAGAAATAGATGTGGGCCGATTCTCAGACCTACTCAATACGCTCACAAAATTTCATGAGAATCGGTCAAGCCGTTTCGGAGGAGTATGGGAACGAAAACTGTGACACGACAATTTTATATATAAGATATATAATAATAATAATAATAATCTCAGGACAATTCACACAGCGCCATCTAGACCCAAGTTAAGCTAGCTAAAGCTTGTGTTATCGGTACTAGACAACTGATGCAAATACATAGATAAATTTTTTTATAAATACATAGAAAATATGTACTTAGACTTTTTTATAAATACATACATAGAAAATACCCAGACCGATACAAACAATCATACTCATGAATACAAATGTTTGTGCCGTGCGAGGAATCGAACCCGCGACCATCGGTCGTAAAGCGGTGTGCTAGACCGCTAGACCACCGAGGTCGTCAATTCGATATATATTTATATCTATATATCTTGAAAGTGTGCCAGAACAGAACCATCTGCGTCTTTAGCTAATCTTTGACTCGCCTATTCTAATATTAGAAGCGCGCGCGACGCCGGTCGCGTATCAGTTTTGGTTTTTATTGTACATGCTCGGGTTTATTTCGGGACTACTCGAGTTTACTGCCGGCCGCACGACAACACTGTACCGAGGTGTGGTCAGCCACACTGCTGGATGATATAGATTGACTCATACCATTAGATAGATAGATGAAGAGAGATAGATAGATAGATATATATTCTTTATTCACCAACTAGCTTTTGCCCGCAGCTTCGCTCGCGTTAATTTATCCCCTTAGGAGTGGAATTTATCAAAATGCTTTCTTAGGGAATGCCTACCTCATAGTAGGTTTATGTATGCAAAGTTTCAGCATTGTCAGTCTCAAAATTGACAAAGTTTCATACAAACTTTCATCCCCTATTTTATCCCCTTGGGGGTAGAATTAATCAAATCATTCTTAGCGGATGCCTACGTCATAACATACCTGTATGCCAAATTTCAGCCCGATCCGTCCAGTGGTTTGGGCTGTGTGTTGATAGGTCACTACGTCAGTCAGTCAGTCACCTTTGAGTTATATATATGTATTTAGATTACAGAGACATGAAGAATTTGTCTATCTATCTATACAAAATTCAATATTCAAAATATCTTTATTCATGTAGGTCTATTACAGACTCTTATGATATGTCTAATCTACCGTCATTTCGGAATGATTTCGAGATGAGAAGAACTGAAAAAAACTCAGCTCGCATTCTTTTTAAATAAATGTTGTACATGTTTATAATAATACAGATTCATTTAAATTAAAATTTGGGAGAATAGAGTGATCACCAGCATATGATATTGCAAAAAACAAAAAATCTAATCAGTGTTCGCAACCTGAACAGCAGCGTTCACGTCACATCTAACTCTATCTCTCTTTATCTATCTATCTAATGGAATGATGAGTCCATCTGTATCATCCAGCAGTGTGGCTTCACGTATCTATCTATCTAATGGAATGATGAGTCAATCTGTATCATCCAGCAGTGTGGCTGACCACAGCTTGGTACAGTGTTATCTCGTCACCAATTACAGAGACATGGCGTACATGAGTTACAGAAAAATTGATTAACAAATAAAAGAAATGGAAGTGACATTATGAAGTGATATTTAATAGAAGTTTTGAATTTATTTATATAAATGCAAAATATTTATTAAATCATATTTACTGAGCAAAGCCTATTACTCACTAAACGATTACTTGAATGACGAGCGTGCATAGTTTATATAATAATTTTCATGTTCGGGATTTTCATTTAATGTTAGACATAGACACCTATATAAATATACATTGTAAATAAACTGGCTTTACAAAAATATATATTCAATTGAGTTTCTTGCCAGTTCTTCTCAATTGGATCTGTATACTGAACTGGACGGTAGGGAAAAAATAATACAGAAAAATTTGACGTTCAAAACCGGCTAAAATGTCCTACAGGAATAAATGATTTTTTGAAATTCATCGATATTTCAATATAAAACATATTCAAATAATCAAAATATATCATAATATGCAGAGGTCTATCACCTTTAACGGCCGTAAAAGGGAATTTATATGTAATAACAGTTGATTATACTCATTCTTCATTGTACCGTGTGATGGGGCTCATAAATTTGGATCTGGCGTTTGTTATGACTCAAAAACGAATTTACTTT